AGTGTGGGTGGGTCCCACTCACCCCTGTGGGCAATTCAGGCTGGGCAGGGACCGGGAGAAAACAGGTGCTTGTGTTTGTGAACTTGTAGCCAAAATGTAGTTTCTGTTTCCTCCCTGGGAAGATGACAGGAAAGCAAGAGGGGCTTGATGGGTGCAGAAGACGGGGAAATGGTTCGTGGCAATGTTGAGGGAGAGGTTTGTGGCTCCCACGGGATGGTTAAACACGGAATGCCACAGAGCCTGGGTTTGCTTTATAGCTTCTTTCTTCCGTTGCCCCTGATATCTCGGGCCTTGGAGTAGAATCCCAGGACTCCCACTCTGCAGGGGCACTCCATGCACACACACACACACACACACACACACACACACACACACACACACACAGCCTACTGTTTCACTGCTTTCTCGGAGACCAGCCCATGAATAGCGGTACCGCATTGCTCTGTGTCCTAGCCCGGTCATCCTCCGCTCAGTGGTGAGGCTGCAGGCGATGAGGGAAACAAAGGCCCGAAAACTGTGGCTTAAATTAAGTCCCTTTATAGCTTGCAGCCCACTGAAAGATGCCAGAGACCCACAGCGTGTGACCCTCCTCAAGAAGTCTATGGCTGCCTTAATGCCTTAATGTTTCCACGTCATTAAAAACTAAGGGCAACTTTATCTTAACAATGGCTAAATCTTCGGGGTCCTGGAGATCCTGCTATCAGCATCCAGAAAGTCCTTGGAAACCAACTCTATGTCTGTCCCCCTGCCCTCCACAGACTTACAAGCATGTAATCAGTCACTCCTCACAACCCCAGCACCACTCTTTCTGCCCACGGGTCCTGTCTCCGGGCCTAAATAAAATCACCTTTTTGCACCAACGACGTCTCAAGAATTCTTTCTTGGGGCGCCTGGGTGGCTCAGTCGGTTGAGCATCTGACTTCGGCTCAGGTCACGATCTCACGGTCCGTGAGTTCGAGCCCCGCGTCGGGCTCTGTGCTGACAGCTCGGAGCCTGGAGCCTGCTTCGGATTCTGTGTCCCCCTCTCTTTCCGCCCCTGCCCCGCTCATGCTCTGCGTCTCTCTGTCTCAGAAATAAATAAACATTAAAAAAGTTCTTTTTAAGAATTCTTTCATAGCCATTTGCTCACAAACCCCAGTTCATAATTTTATCACTGGCACAGGAGGAAGAAAGGTATTTCTCTCTTGGCGAAGCCCGAGACAGCAACAGGACCATTCTCTTTGCCAGAGCTCCTGGGAAAGCCATTAGAATCTTTTTCTCCCCCTGCAGGTTTGTGCCCATCTTCAACACCAGGCACAGAGGAGGATTTCCGCCACTGCTGAGGGCAGCCCCGGGCCCTTGGAGATTCAGAAGAATGTTCTTTCAGACTGTTTGGGATGGGAGGGGACGTTCAAATGGAGAGGAGCCTCCACGGGCTATGCCATGGAACCATCGTAACACCCGTTCACCTCTCTGGGAGGCCACTGGCTGTAAAGAGGCTCAAGAAGATGGAAGGTGACGTGAAGAACAAAGGCAAAAACACAGAGATGGCATTACGTTTCCTTATAACCTGCAACCCACTGGCAAACAGCCGAGGCAGGCATGTCTCTCCAGGAACCCCTCACTGTTTGACTGGTAATGCTTTGCGAGGGGGAAGAACAGCCTTGGCTCGAGGCTGACTGGGCCTCCAGGACCCCCTAGGTCTTCTGTAGCTTATGAAAAGCCTGTCTGGAAACTTCCCCTTGTCTGTGCGTCCCCCAACTCTCAAGTCTATAGTCAACTCTTCTTCGTGATCCCAGTGCCGCTATTTCTGCCCACCAGTCCTGTCCCCGGGCTTTCGTAAAACCATCTTTTCTCACCGAAGGCGTCTCAACAAGTATGTGGAATTGAAGACACACAACATAGGGAAAGGGAAGGAAAGATACGATAAAAAACGGAGAGGGAGACAAACCCTAAGAGACTCTTAGATACAGGGAACAAACTGAGGGCTGCTGGAGGGGAGGAGGTGGGGGGAGGGGCTGAATGGGGGATGGGCA